CTTCGATGCTTGTAGGATGACGTGTTGCTGGACACATGTGAAAAACAACACACTTTCTTGGCTTGCAACAGGCTACCCGCTGCTGGATCGGTTCATAAGACAGGGTAAAGTGAGAAAATCTCCAACGCTGCATTCCTGTACATAGGTGGCGGATGTCCCAGTAACTGTAGTAGATGGTGGGGTGACTGGGTGTGACATTCTCGTATATGTTCTCAGAATGAAATGCATACATCTTCGTCAGGTGTCCGGAAGCCAACTTAAGGTGCGGAGATGCTCCTGCCTCTATGTTTAAATGAGAGAAGAATGGCCGGATGGCATCTGCACGTTCTGCAATGCATATGCTCACTCAGGTTCTGGCCTGTAGCAGCTATGCCGCCGTGATTCACAACACATTTGAATGAGTTTGCGAAGCGAAGGACACCCATACTGGGAATGAGTATCGATGATTTCCACTTCAAATTAACACAGATTTCTTAGCCATTTTTTTGCTCAGTTCCTGCCACATAATCAGGGGCATTCGGGTATTGCATCAACAGATCACGAAGCACGCTTCTTACCTCTTGGTGTGGACTATTGCCATCGTCCCACATCCAGCCATGGTAGTAATTGGCTAACTATTAATTGGTTTTCTTTCAGTTCTCGTCCAAGAGTCTCGGTGGGTAGGCAGGTCTGAAGGACTGTGTTTGCATTTTAACATCATCTCCATGAGTCATAGCGATCTCCTTAAGCACATATCCATTTTGGGTCGAGGGTGACTAAACATACATATTGAGTGATCTTATGTATATATTCTCCGCAATACTCATGACAGTGTCTTGATGGTCTTGTCTCGTAATTAGTACTATACAAACCAGTCATGAAGTGTCGGGTAGAAATCATATATGCCTGAAGGATTATTTCCATAATTCGTGAATTCGATCCTGCGTGTGAAGATATTTCAAGTAATATGTTCGTGTTGTTTATTCACGTCGTAAACAATGTGCGGAGTCATGCTCTTTAAAGTAACATGGCTCAGTATTGGGGACTGAGCGTGTCCTTGATATGGCTTTTGGAGTACTCTGATATTTCAGAAGCTACTCACCATTTTCGAAGGTCGTCACCACATATGCATAGTTTTCGCTATTAAAAGTATTTCCACATTTTCTTTTTGACATATGTCGAACTGCGAATGTCTCAGTCTCACATTGTGCTGACGGATTTGTAGTGTCCGAGATGATGTACCAACAAATGACAAACGTTTGTACTAGTCTGTCGTCTGCTGGTCACCATATTTGGAGTGGGTTTATTCCGCCAACTTACGAGTCGCGAACCTCAACTGCCCGCATGAAGTATTAAATATTTTCAGAAATATTTTTGCATTTCTCTAATTTATCTTAAATCTCACATTTCTATTTTTACTTTGCAATTTTTGAATTTTTTGAATTTTTTTAATTTTAAAAATATTTTTTTAAATGGTTTTTCATTATATACATATAAATTTTGGCATTTAAAGTTATTTTAAAGGTGTCCTAAGGTCAACGCCATCCTAGGTCAAGGTCACACACAATCAATATGGCCGACATCTGACCGGTCGTTAACCTGTTCCTCACTCCTCTTTCTATATAGCATATTTATACATAATTCCAGAGATATTTTCACGGTAAATACGAAATTAGTTTTTCGGCAACTTCTTAACTGTGTAACTGATTACATAAGTGATGATTACTTTTTAATTGCATACAAACCGTTTTGTAGTCTTGGTCAATACAAAATAGCCTGGCGTATGGCACAAAAACGTTTTGGCAATGTGACTGTACATTAATTTTTAATTTAATTTCTGGTATTGTCATATTAATGTATAGTTAAATGTGCCGACAAGCACGAGGCAGATCAATTGAATGCTTATATTATTTTAAGGAGTAAAACTATTAAAAATTTATTCAAATTTTAAATATTTAAAATCTGTCTTTTACAATTCTGGCAGAGGACAGAGACTAATTTGGCTAATTCAAACCTATGAAGAGGCGCTAACATAAGTAACTGTGGCATATACTGAGCTAGTTCAGAGTGCCCTGAAGGTTCAGTTGGTGAGTCATGTTCCACCTGTACCGTGCCTTACGTCATACAAGCACTGTCTGGGCTGGGACTCCGCCACACAAGACGATAATTAACTTGCTCAACCGAACGTAAGTTACGATGATGGCCTTACGTGCACCGCGTTGTCTTGAAGGGAAACTGCGAGACAGTCAAGAAATACACTGGCGTTGAGCACAGACACACTTATTCACCTTGAGAGGCTCGCATATTAGATAGTATATTTCGTTCCTCATAACACCCTTCTCAATTGAGTGTCTTCACACGAATTGGCCATAACATGATGACGAAAGCATGACGGTGGCGTGTGGATTATCAAAACTATAATCGTATACCAATAACTGCAAAAGTGGAAAAATAATTAATGTGTTATAATATACATGTTCGTTTCACAATACGCGTATATATATATATATATATATATATATATATATATATATATATATATATATATATATATATATATATAGTTTTCGCCTTCGTGCTGCCATGTCATAAGCGTGTCTCACTATTTGTGCTTGTTTTTAACTTTATTAAGTTGCTTGGATGTCATTTGTTAGACAACAGAGTGCCCACGTGAATCAAATATTTCTAAAGTGCAGTATACATCAAACTAGGTTTTCCATTTACACATATCGAGGGAAGAAATCTAATTTCGGGGATAGACGCTTTTAAGCTCAAGCCATGTTTCTGTATTACGCACAGTGAATCCATTATAATGGATGTCAATGAATAATCGTTACAAATTAATATGCTGGTACATGAGATTAAATGGAACATATTTTATTCAAGTAACCATGTCCGGAAATGCCTCCTTATACAAAAAATGGCGATGATAGCGTGCAAGGGTGGCGTCAGGTATTACAAAATATACATGTGAATTGGTATTGTAAACAGGTTTATTACACACACAGAGAGAGGGAGATAGAGAGAGTACAGCAGCTGCTCAGAGTTGTGTCCTCCGTATTCGATGCGTGCTCTACAGCGCTGAAGCATGTGGCGGAGCTCATCATTTAAGATGGTCGGCGTGTTCTTGGTGGTAGCTTCAAAATACGTACATATCTAAGCAACGCTTTAGGGAATTAAGGACCCCGTCTACCAGAATATATTTTTTCCGCTTTTGGAGGTATGGCAACATGGAAGCGTTAAGGTCGACAATAAGTACGGTCGCCAAGTGCTCCGTCGCCCCTACGTGCAGAGCTCCAAACTACCGTGTAGACTTCCCGTCTTATACACTTTACTTGGGTTACTTGGAGCCGTAATGGCGCGTGGTTAGATTAGCCGCCTGCCACCAAGGCGAACCTGGTTCGATTCCCGGCGGGGTCCTTCCCGTATTTAAGCATGTGGGCGATGCCATTGGTGGACGGGTTTTCTCGACGATCTCCCTTTTCTTCCGCCCTTTCATTCCTGCGCTGCTTCATACTCACCTTGCTTTCACACTCATCGGCTCTCAAGACAACGATGTTAAGAGCCGCCCTAATCTCCTCACTCACTCACTAGGGGACTTGAAGTGTTCACTGTAATTTTATTGGTGGAAAGTTTATGACAATGTTTAATGCAGCGCCCTGTACTAGTTTCGCAAGTATTTGCCCAAATTGTTTTAAGCTATGTCAGTCTGAAAATTTAGTTTTTGGCCATGTTGAAGCTCTTCAAAATTGGTTGTGTTTGCAGTAAGCATGATATGTTGAATGTTTCATTCCGCCCTAGTCTTAAAGCGTTATTTATTTTCGTGTGGAAGAAGGTTTTGCACACGTGACATAGTTGATTTTAAAAAAACCTGTATTACAAACACACTGAAACGCAATTCGTGTGACAGGTAGCGGCGCCTTAAGGTCGCCCATGACCAAGGAAGCTAGGTTTAAGTACTCTTGTCCATGTTACTAGCTGCAGACTTATTACACTGAAGGAAATACGTCCCTATGCTGATTGTCGTTAGAGCCTGTTCACGATTAAGTGAGCACTTTCGAAATCGACCTTACAAAAAAGTAACTTCTCTTGCCTGCATATATTATCAACAGGCGCTCTGAGCGACATGCGCCCAGTAAAGTTGGTAATGATGGATGGAAAAATAGTTCCGTATCTAAACGTCGAATAAAAAGTGTTGGGTAACCATTTCTGATAACTTAAATTGTATCTTTCGTTTTCAGTTTTTTTTTTAATGCATCGAAGTGCATAAATGAGCAGATCTGTAAAATATTTGCTTTTCTAATAATTTCACGGTTTCGCTTGATCGACCCATGAATAAAGTGAAGAAGCGCCTTGTCAATGTTAATTTTACATAAGGCGGAGGAATACACAAAGTGCATACAAGTAGATGTCAAGCTGGGCTTTCAAAAGTGTTCATTTGACCGTGAACAGCCTGTAGAGGCAGGGTCGTGTTGGATCAGATAAGAAGTGGCCTATTGTTCCCGGCCAGCCTGCACTGATCGATGGATAAATGGACGGACGGAGTGTGATGCAGTGATTGAATGAAAACCGAAGGGGAACCAGAAAACCGAATGAAAGCCCTGGCACCACAGTACAGTCCTGGCTGGAAAATATACCAGCCCACTAAGACATGAGATCGGGTTGAAGACAGAAGCGCACTGAAGATAGCAACCTAACATATGATATAGCCACTATTTCGCATATTAATCAAACACAAAATATTACTAAGGAGATGTACGTAAGCAATTCCGGCTCCATATTTTACCAAACAGAAACTTTTTGAATCTCGGTCGTAAAAATATTAGCCAGGAAAAATTCTTTCTAACCTTGATTTTCTGAAAACTTTCTAAAAATATTTAATACAGTTTACTGCTGTAGAACCATTCTAAAAAAGTGTCTTAATTTTGTTATCGTTATTCCAGCTCCTGTATTACATAACACGATTTCCTAGGGCAGATGTTACGCCCTTGACGATTAAAGCCAAAGAATTAAAATACGCATGTCAGAAGTGGGATTCGAACCCACGCCCACGGATGTGGACTGCGACCTGAACGCAGCGCCTTGGACCGCTCGGCCATCCTGACGACATAACGTTATATAGTCTGGGAATTTTCATTTATTCTCGTGAATAATGACGTCAGGGCAGTGCTAGGCAATTTCACCATCTTTTTTGTCTCCCGCCATCAGATGGCTAAGCCCAAGCTGGTTATATTCACAGGACTCGCCATCTTGTCGACACAGTAGTGTGCCTTTTTATCTCCTGCCATCAGATGGCTAAGCCCAAGCTGGTTGTATTCACAGGACTCGCCATCTTGTCGACACAGTAGTATGCCTAACACTTGTTTGAGAAGTCTTGGGTTTGTACCTCGCCGACAGAATTCGGCGTTTAAGTATGATCAGCTCAGTGGTTCTCCACTCTCCCCCTTCCACAATCAGAGGACATAGTGGTACAGCTATTAAAAACTTGCCTTTATAAGTTCCTTGCCTATAACAAGATCCGATGGTTCAGTAATTGCCATCACGTTTTTAAGGCCGTGTTCCAAATAACAAGAAATGCGCACTCTCGTGCTCTCGCACTCGGCAATGACGTCAGATAGTGCTCTTCCAAATGTCCATCGAGAGCGAGTGCAAGTGTTTGTTTACGAGTGTGTGCGCATGCACGCTGTCTATCCGTGCTCGCTACAACCAGCATTATTTTGTTTGTCTTCTAACATAAGGAAAAAATAAATAAAATTGCCCTAATTTTAATCTCCTTCGTGTGAAATGTGTAAACAAATACATTATAGGCCTATTTTGAGTTATGCATTACAATTTACGAATTTATGAAGCAAAACTACATTGCTGAAAACAGTGGAATGGCCCAGGAACAAGTATTATATCACTGTAATGTATTTTCAATTCTAAAATTTCAAGCTCAAAATGTTGATTTCACATAAAATTTGCACCCGACTCTCATAATGCATTACTATCATACCCATCATCATCCCTACTAATCAATCCCTTCTTAATTCCAATGTAAATATTAATGAATAAATTTTTTTAAGTAAATGTTATTTTGTTTAACCAAAATAACAATCGATTGCATATCGTATCGATTATTTAGAAAAGTGCGAGTGACGATAGTTCCATATGGGAGGAGTATAAGTGCGACAATGAGTGTGAGAGCAAGTGCGAGTGTGAAAACGGCCTAAGGTAGCACTAAAGGCATAGGTGCGGGGTACAGAAATTAAGTATTCCATGAGTAAAACAAGAGCAATAGCGGAGCAAAGGGGTTTGGATATACACCATCTACCAAAAAGTAATTTGGCACATGTCCACAATGTTTGCTCGGTGGTTGCCACCCCATTATAATCTCGTAGGGCCACCTCTTGCGGCTATAACAGCAGCCACCCTGTCTGGCATGCTCTCTACGAGTGTTTGCAGGACATCCACGGGGATTCATCGCCATTCCTCTTGCAACCATTCCATGAGTTGAGCAATGGATTTTGGCCCCGCCTGACGAGCCCTCACCCGGCCATCCAATTCGTCCCGAAGATGTTCTATAGGGTTGAGGTCGGAGCTCTGGGCGGGCCAGTCCAATCGGCGAACATTGTTGTGGGCGTACCACTGCATAGTAGCCCTTGAAACATACAATAGGCCTCTGTGTTCATGCTGCCACGGACAAACACCAGCGGTCCTTCGCCGAAGGCCGTGAAACACAAGTCAACTGACGTATTGAATTACTTATCTTCACGGGTGCCCAATTACTTTTTGGTAGATAGTGAAGTAATCGACCGGAGTGTAAATAATGTATCATTCCACGGCGTATACGTAAAGTGGACGATGATCGCCTACGTGACAGTTGCATGTACAGCCCGCGACTGACACAGCACACGTGGTTTGCACGACACCTCTCAGCCCCTCTACGCATATTTCAAAAATCTCTAAAGCTCCTATCACACTGTCAAATTTGTCCGTCAAATTGCTTCAAATAAGTTTGGCCGAATAAAGTTGGACAGTCATGAAGTCATCGAAACGTCATAAACGCCGCCATATTTGTCTGAAAAAGTTTGATGGATTCAGCTTCCATCGAACATTTGAAAATTCTACCTGTTCAAAAATGTATTTCATGTTTGATGGTGTCAGCCAGTCAGAATCATGTACGACAAAGATGGACGTCAAGAAACTTAAAAATAACGAACAACTGCTGGAAACGAAGTAGGTTATGACGATAATTAATTTATTTAGAAGCTGTCTGGGCATGAATGCTAGTTTAAGAGAATATTGCACATAATATTACGAACTCAGACGCATTAAATGTCACTGAGTAGGAAACATCTCTCACAAATAAAATTTTAATTTAGTAAAAAAGCGAAAATAAATTACAACATTCCTTACATTTCTTCTTCTACTGAACTGCATGGAAAAACAAAAGCAATATTTATCTATGAAAATAAATTTTAAATAGTAATTCAAATTAGATTACCCCAGTAAAAATATTTGACAGTGTGGAACATTTTCAAACACATTCAACATTATTAGATAAAATTTGTTGGAAGGAAAAATTTGATGGCCGTAATTGGCCTTCAAATTTGACTGTCAAATATAGTTGAAGGCGGAAATTTGATAGTGTGAAAGGGGCTTAAAGCCCGTTCCACAATGCACGTATACGTAAGAAAATGGATTCGGAAATGGAAGCAGAACAAGCTGACGACTCCGGGTTGATTTCAACCATTCTACAATACAATACAAATAAACGTATCCTTGCAACTTACGAAACCAAAAATACCCAGCTGTTGCAAATTACTCATACACGTTTCATAATATACACTTCTCATTTCTATATTTCTGCAGTGTTTAAAAATACGTAAACACTTCTGCCGAACAATGTTCGCTTATTTATTAAAACAAAAATGATAATCGCCACGGCTAATTGGAGAACTTGTTACCTTGTATACGACAATGGCCGCGGAAACGAATATCAACAAACCAAATACTCGATTCCTATTGGCTACACGGATCCACGGACACGAGCGAGTTAGGAGATGCTCCGTTTTCTTCCGTGTATCTGTAAGTCAGCCGCGTCCACGTGCGTCTCGTTGTGGATTGAACACGGAAGGTGTTATGGCGGAATCGCATAGCCCCGTCTCGCACGACACGACGGCCAACACCCAATGAAATACAAGACAGATCGTCGTAAGCCCGACCGATTCTGTCGTCCGACCAGCAGTTTTGGATTAGAAATTATTTCTATTCTTCGTCATGTCGTGCGGCACGACGCACGGAATGTACAACCTTGCAAAATGAAATTGTATTGCAAGCTTTCCCTACAATGGTAAATACGCAGCTTAAGAGAAAAATAATTTTAAAATTACTGTATCAAACTCTAAAAAATAGTAATTTTACCTTTCTACGTATTAGCGACGCCAGTTTATCATCATTATGTATTACAAATTTCCCTCTTGCTCACCTCCTTTGAGACTAACGTAACCTATCAGCGCCTTCTAAATTGTTAGGTTAAATGCCGAGAGCGTGGTGTCGGTTCGTGCTGTAAATTCAAGTAGACATATTGAAATGTGTCGTGGTTGCGTTTTTGGTTGTGTCGTGCTGTGTTGGTCGGGGCTATGTGATCCCGGCATTATGGCCTTTTTATACGCCTCGCCCTGTAGGTCAGCGTCGTGTGTTTATAAAACTTTCTCAATCCATACCCAGTCGTAGTTTAAGTGGTAATTCTCATGTGGCCGTCGTATCTTAGGTGGTATTCTCGTGAGCGGCCCTTCCTGGCCGCTACAAGAGGAACCGAGAGACCCTCTAGAAAACCCGCCGATCAGCGGCATCGTCCCGTACATTCCCACTTGCGAAACTCCTGAGTTGAACCGGCCGGGGATTGAACCCGGGTCACCTTGGTGGGAGACGAGGAGGCCGACCGCTCAGCCACCGTGGCCCCGGCTTTAGGCAGTGGTTCTATAATTTACTGTCAGAAAGTCTGTAACAAGGTTCAATGCAGCCCCCTAGAATACATTTGTATGCATCTCACCACAATATTTTGAGATATAACGCCTTGAAAAAGCCACCTTTATTCTGCTACATTGCTACATACATATAACGTCCTGAAAGTAATCAACAGGCATAGTCTCAAGTGTGTGTTCTTTTCTTAAATCAACATTTTTGGCTCACATTTTACGGCTTCGAAAAGAAACTCGGTTAACGCGTTTCAAGCACGGCAAGTAGGCAGGTAGTAAGGCGGCATCCTTCATCTTCATTACAATTCATCTTGTAGGACTTGTTTAGTGCTGAAGGCAGTTTGTAAGATCCACTGCAGCTCAAGAGATCTGCAATAGAGTTGCGATAAATGTCGCTTGTTGTGCTGGTTTGGCAGGGCAGAGTGGGTGTGAGAGTTAGCAGTCGGTGAACTAACCGCGTATTCGAAAATTCTCCGGTGCATACACCGATGAACACCGGACGTTCGAAAATTGCTGTTTCGGTTGAGTCCGGTTGAACCGATTGATCCGCCAGTTCAAACTGAAAATCCGTTCGGTCTGGTGGATGTGCACCATAAACACCAACCAGTGAATATTCGAAAGCTTTCTCTTAAAAATAAAAATTAACACACCCACAACTCGTAATTTTCAAGAATTCCAAAATATAAAAAAAATAATTAGTACGTCGAGTTTTACAAATGGGCGATGAAAACTTTAGTATTCTAATGTAATGATATTAATATGTGTCTGGAAGTAGACGAAAATACCGCTAAAAATCAACCTGGTGTTCGATCAATGTCTCAACCGGTGTACACCGGTGTATCAACCACTGGTAGATCCATCGATGCATTTTCGGAAACGCGGCATGTGAATACTCGCGGTGTTAAGCTACACGACTGAATATTTATTGACATTTGTAATGGAGTACGCGGGGATCTCCCGAGTGTACCATAAACACTGCAATCAGTTCCTAGAGCAAACGGAAGCTATGAGACGCTCACTGAGAGACTATTCGATTTCTGCGTATGGTAACAAACATTATATAGTTCACTTGTACCGTAAAACCGAATAAGTGTATCGATTATCGTATCACAGTATTGTCACAGCAACTGTAATTATGACTT